ATTTTATTTTATTTTATTTTAATTTTTAAAAAAATCTCCTTCGTCTTGAAACTTTTTGCTGCTTATCAAATAACTTTGAGCCTCGGTCAGAAATAAAAAGACGGGAGGGTTTTATATTTCTGTCCCAAGAGGAGGAGGAAACAAATGGTGGACTGAGGTTTTTTCTATGTTTTTTTTCCCCCACTAGACGTTTCCTCCTCACGACGCGACTCTCATCAAATCAGACCGTCATTTAAAAACACTAAATGTGGCATATACTTTTTATCATTACTTCGGATCTACTTGGCCTAACACCACAATTTAAAAACTGGTTTAAAGTTCAAAGTCTCTACTTTTCACTCGAGGGCCTCGGAGAGGGCGGCTCTTTACTGGTAGATCTTTTTCCTTCCTAAACTTTATTTAGGTCAGCCAGCATTGTCAACACTCTGCGGGTGAGGTAAATGGCTCCGCGACATGGCCAGAGACACAGAAACGCGACACAACGAATCAGTAATGAAATTCATTGCCACTGCTTTTAATAATCAATTTTTATTGATTTGTTGCAGCCCTAAAGGCGTCAGCAATCCACTTTGTTTCTGGCACAGCTCAGACTAGCCGTTTGCTTGTCAGAACTTGAAAAACTAAACTCTTTATCTGAAGTGAGATTGCTACAGAGCTATCTACAGCAGGTGAGATAATAACTGTTTGCAAAGTTCCCACAGAACCTAACTTAAAAAAATACTGAACTGTCACTTAAAGAGAAGCTGAGTCAGCAACAATAGGCTAACCCAGTGGTGTCCAGACTTTTTGGTATGTGGGCCAAAATTGTCAAGTTGTACAGAAAGTACTCGTACACTTTTTGATTTAAAAATAAATAAATAAAGTTGATATATAAAATTATATATTTAAAACATTTTAAACCTTCAGCTTTAAATAGTTACCTCTAAAAGTTGCAACAATCTACCTTAGTTTCTTAAGCATGTGGGCCAAAAGTATACCATTGTTCAACTGCCGTTGTAGAGCACAGAATGTCCCTCCAAGGGCTGCAAATGGCCCGTAAGCCATATTTTTGCCCCCCTATACTAACCTGTTCTTAGTTATGTTTGTTTTCATAGAACTGAAGTATGTGATTGTGAGTAAAAGAGAGTTTTTAATGCTTTTCAACCAGATTCCGTAACAAGATGACGCAGGCCGGCTTCACCATCGCAGGCTCGGCCCACCCCATCTGTCCCGTGATGCTGGGCGACGCGCGGCTCGCCTCTCTGATGGCCGACGACATGCTGAAGCTCGGTGAGACGCCAGCATCTCAAGTTTTATTGTTGGGAAAAAAAATAAAGAAAATGCTTCCATTTATGCAAATTATTAGCCTTGAATGAAAGATTTTCCAGCAAATTCTAGCTTTTTTTTTCCCTCAGGAATCTATGTGATTGGATTCTCATACCCAGTGGTACCAAAGGGCAAAGCCAGAATCCGCGTTCAGATCTCRGCTGCGCACACCGACGAGGACATCGATCGGTGTGTGGAGGCTTTTATCCAGACTGGCAGAAAGCACGGAGTCATTTCCTGAACGAGATGCGGGAGCAGGAAGGATTGAGCACAGCACCTGACACATCAGGAACCCCGGTACTCAAACACTGTGACTGATGCAGAAGGAAATCTTAGTTAACATTTAGAGGTCAAAGGAAATAAATCCTATTTTTGTTCATTCTTGGATTAAAAAAAACGTGCTCTTTGCTAACGTGTAGGTGTTTGAATTTGAAAAAAGGCTAAATTTCCACATTTGCTTTACTAAATCTTAGGAAAAAAAATTCTTGAATCCACAAATGTGATTTTTTAAACATTGTCAAAGCAGCAATGAGGTTTAGTGTTGCTTTGACTAATAATGTTACATTACTTGAGTTTATAGAAAAACAATAAACATCTTTTAAATCAAAAACCACGGGTCTATATTTGTTTTGTTTATGTCAGAGTTTTAATGAAGGAAAACAAAGACCTGTCTTTAGAAATATATTTTCYGCAAATTAAAATATCAGGTACATTTTGAATGTGATCATAAAACTCTTCATTGTTCATTGTTGAGGTTTTGTAAATCATCCACAAGTTTTAATTGTCAAATTTTATGGTTTATTGCCTGATCCTCTAAGACTACATTGAAAACTGTATTGTCGTTTAGAAACCAAAACAAGAGGTGAAAATACATCACCACATTTCCTTTTTCTTTTCTTTTTTTATTGCCTGGTTTTTAATCTTTGCCAATAACTAGTGCAGTCAACTGTTCCTCTTCCTCTCACAAGAATGGCTCTAAGTCAGTCAGTTGTACACATTTGGAGCTGAATTTTAATGTGGTAGTACCTGAGAGTCGTTCACAACACATACTTTGAGCACTACACATCTAGCAAAGAATGTTCTTACCAGTGGTAGACAGTAATGTAGTACATTTACTTGAGTACTGTACTTAAGTACATTTTTTGAGTATCTTTACTCGAGTAATT